ACCACACCAAGCTCAATGTATCCACATCAGATGCAGCATGGAGTTAAAATATTAGTATAAAAGTGATAACTTTTAACTAGCGTAGTTAAATGAGTACAAAGGCCGTATTTAGATCAGCCCTAATGAAATCTTTCCTTGTCCCTGCTTCTCCAGCAAGAAGAGTATCAGACCGTGGTTTGTTTCAAGTCCTATCACGAGCAAAGCTGTGCAGTTTGGAAGTGAGGTAACTTCTGCTACAGATCCGTTAATTTATGTTGAGTTTCTTAAAAAAGTTGAAGCGACAGTAGCGAGGCCTTGAACGATCGAATCTTGGATTGCCACAAGGTGGCACTGGAGGCCCACGGGCACTCACACACACGTCCACGAAGCCTGGAGTCGCTGCATTGTCCCCCGAGGGATCCTTAATCCCAATATCATCACCTTAGGATCCCGGAGCACAAGGGTACCAGCAGAGATCAGCCCCACGGGCGCTCTCGGTAGCACACAACAAGCAGTATTTAGGTATAATACGTGTGACCGTGTGTCACGCTACCACAAAGTGACATCTGAGATGTAGCCGCCTCTCCTGCCATCCTGGGGGAGCACAGACACAAGAGCTCCGTGAACAACTTCACCGTAGAGGTCACCCCGCTCCACCTTTGCAGCCTCCCCTTCTGCAACTTACAGTAAACACAGGAACTGCAGAGAGAATCCCACAGGGCAGCGACAGCCGTTGGGTTATCTCGGACGAGAACCAAATTTAGTCCCAACCGCTGCACCCAGGGCCCACAGGCAATATCCCCCCCTGTGGTTCTAAACCGAGGGGTCTAAACCCACGATTTGTCTTTAAAGAGGCAAGGTTTCGTCCAACAGGCTTAAAGGTTCTAGCACTAGTGTCTATAATTGGCTTTATTTCTAGGCATGTAACAAGCTTCCAAATGAAAAGACGGCATGGAACGGCGTTCAATTAAATGCAGATGCTTTCGGTTTCAAAACAAGAGACAGAAACGACCCGGTGCACAGTACAACTGACACTTTATTCCTTCATGACGGGGATATATAGTATTGAAACTGCAAGAGTCACCAAAAAGAAGAAAAAAAAAAAACCAAAACCAACCAAAAAAATCAAAGTGCAAACCTCTATCAGAACAGATTATGGAATGTATTGATGCTTTTGGCACAAAAAGTGGGGAACTATATACCGTGACAAGGTTTTGAGTTGAACGGAATGCAACACTGCTGTGTTCAGTAGTCGTACTTGTGCATTGCACAACAATACAATGTAAACCAGCGACTAACACAATTCACATGCGACTCTGTACAAGTTACATCCTATGTCCAGTTAAAACTTTTCTGAAAATCCAGCGGTATTTTGTTCACGATCACTTAACAAACACCGTTCTTTGAGCAGTCTCATCTTTTCAGCTTCCTCAGGGATAAAAGCAAAAAGAGGGGAAATCTTAAATTGAAAATTCTCTTCCCCAAATGGTTCCATGTGGATGTTTTCCTTCAAAGAAATTTGGCTCTGACTTCATTGAGGTGATGTGCAAGAAGCTGAATGAAATCAGAAGCTGATTTTTTTTCCAAATTTCATCTCCAATCTGCCGTGAACCAACAGCATTCTGTGCAGTGACTTTGTTTTTAGAACTGGACATAGCGTTGCTTGTGAGCTCTGTACCTATCACATGGAAATCACCCAAAAAATCAGATTACAGCTTCATACAGTGGCATCTATTTAGGACCGAAAAGGAGCATATTAGCATGGAAAAAGACAAAACCCACAGAAATGGAAGAATTCAAGTTTATCTTATAAGGTACAGTATGCATTCACATTTTCTTTGCAGAGAGAGACACCGTGTTCACATTCTGGTGCAGAAAGGAACCCACGAATCACAGCCCTCCTCCCTCAGCTCCGAGCAAAGACATCGTGAAAGATCCGTAACGGACATCGTCGGTCTTCCGTTTGAACTGAGCTAAACCCAGGGCTCAAAGGGAAAAAAACCCAAAACCCTTTGATGAGTAATTCAAGCCCCACTGCTGAGCTATGAACCACGAGAACTTCTGCACTGGCCTGCGATGTCATGTAGCTTGACAGCTGTTATCAAGTGATTTACGTGGGCAGCCATGAGCGTTCAGTGCCTCATCTCCTTTTTTGGTTTGGGATTTGATATTTGATTTTATTATTTATATTAATCGAGGATGATGATTTATAGCAGGCATCCCAGAAACGTCCTGGTGACAGGCTGTACGGGAGGCCCGTTGGATGAGTACGTATCACAGCAGAAATGTCCTCGCCACTGAATTCTTCGGTTGGGCGACAGGAAAAAAAAATAGCAAACAGCAAGAACAAGAAGCATTTGGCGTGATTTTAGTTCTTAGTACCATACTGCAAGTGCACAAACTGAAGTGCTCTTAATGCTTTTGCTTTGTAATGCCAGAATAACGCCAAAAAGCGGAGAGGTGAGGGCAATCCCACTAACCAGCTCAGGTAACTTCTGGCATCGGAGCGTCTGCGTTAGGAGGCCACGATACCTACTGACCCCAACAGAGAGAAAGCGGGGGTGACTGAGAGCACCTAAATTCTGCACCTGAAGTTAGACAGTTTGAATGCAACTTGAAATCATCCCCTGAGGGATTTTGGGTCCCTCAGCCGCTCCCTTGCTCTTTCTGAATCCCAAAACGCAGCCTGGAAGCCAAGGAAATCTAAATGGCCCTAAGGTAAAAGACCAACCTCTCTGTCCACGCAGATGTTCCTCAGCTCTGAGATCCCAACTCCCGCTCTCCCCGCCTTGGGGAGCCAGGGGAATTCACTGTCCCCTCTTCTATCGCTTTTGGGGACACGAGACACCAACGGCGTCCCCCCACAAACGTTTCTCTTTTCGGGAGTAAGCCTAAAGAAGAGGAGTCACCCTGGTCACTCTCTGCATCTGTAGCTCCTGTTGACAGTCATCCTTCCAGCTCCAAACAAGTCACTCAGAACCGAAGTGGACCGCTCGGTTTCTCCTCCCTCCTGCCACCTACGCAAGGAGGGAGTGAGTTTAGGGCAGTCCACCGTGGGCTGGGATAGTTTGGAGGGAACAGTGAAGAGGGAGGAGTACAGAAAAAGAAGACTCAGTAGGAGAACTGAGGCAACAGAGGGCAAAATCACTTGGGGTTAAAAGAGAAAAGTGCTCATCATACCATAGAGGCGAGAGTCTGGAGAAGAAAAAGAGAGTTGAAAGCTAAGAGAGGGTGGAAGAAAAAAAAAAACCCACCACAACAGAAAGTTCAGGAGATAAACCGAATAACAACCCCCCAGCCTAACGCTGTCCCAGTGCAGGTGGATGCTCTGGCTCCCTAGCGAGGGGAGGGAAGGGGGGCTGGAGGTGACGGGTGGGGGCCAGGCCCCCAGGGGGTGCCCAGACGGGTCGGGGGGATTCTGCTCCTGCCTTGTACGACAGCTCCCGCGGCTGCATGGGTCTGTAACGGAGCACAGCTCGCCTCTGGAACGTCACCGTTAGACACCGCAGGGGCGCTTTTTGGCACAAGAGTTTTGTTTAACGTCAAACCATTTCAAAACGCGAGATGCTTTACCGGATCTTCAAAAAAAAAAGCACCACGGGAAGGTAGAAGAAGAGATTCCCCCACCGCGACCTTCACATCAGCTGGGTCAGGCTTCAGTGATGGCGCGTGGGAAGGGAGGAGACAGAGGGGAACCCTTTGGGACGGCCATAAAACCGGCCCTCGCTGTCTGGCCGCCTAAAGACATCCTTTGGGACACGCTCTCTTTCCACACACGTTACGTTCGCGCTCTCCCTCGTGGTACCTCCCGTCACCACAACGTAACAGCGCGGCCGCAACGCGTCTGATGGGTTCTGGCAGCTGCCAGGAGGTTTCCTCCTCACGAGATGAAGCGAGAGATACGCTGAGGAGTACCTATGGATATGAGTCCTTGTGTTTCCTCCCCTATGACTGCGCCAAAAAGCACGCAGGTTTCCAAAGGATATCCAAGCGTGCGCTCGGTTAATACCGTTTGCTTCCCCGCAGGCCACGTTGCCTGAGCTCCCCCCTGCTCACTTCCTACCCGACCTTAGCAACACGCTGCAAGTGGTTCAGGAAAGGTGGAGGAGATGTCTAGGAAGTTGATAACGTGTTCAGACTGTTTGTCAGTCTCTGGAGACTTCCCACTGCTGCCTCTGTTTGGGAATTTCTCCATCCTTAGTTTACAAATGTTCTAACGAGAAGCATGTGAATACAATGGGGAATGCTTCACTTTACTGTGGGGAAAAAAAAAAGTATGAGTCAGTGGGTAAACATGTTGTGGAATTTGCTACAGAATTTGTATTTGTTTTAACTGAATACCACAGTAAATATTCATGCAATTAAAAAAAAAATAAGATGGTTATTGTTCCAAGGAAAACTGTCCCAAGGGCAGATAAAGTACAAATACCAGTCTTTCAGGAAAAAACAGCTTCCCTTATTCATGAGCATAATCCAGGAATAGCTGTCCTTCAACTCCTTCTATCACCCTTTTCTTTTGAATTTTGCTAGCAAGTGGCCTCCAAAAGAGGAGAAAACACAAGAGAGAGAGAGAAATAAATAAAAAAGTAAGCAAAGCGAATGAAAACCCTCCACATTTTAGATTACTTTTGTAGGTTTCACTTTTCCAACAGCATCTCAGTCTTTCATTTTTGTGGTCCGGGTGCTCCCTGGGATCTGGCCTTTTTAAAACTCCTCTTCCACCAAACTGAGTCATGGCCTTAGCAGCGACCGGGGACCTGAACTTGCGGGGTGTTACCTCGTGTGGCTGCGCTACTCCCTCTTTTTCCGTCACTCGAGTCGCCCTTGAACGCTCCCATCGGAGGAAGCTTCTCCCCAAGTTGCTACCTCGGCTCTGAAACCGATTCCAGCCACGACCCTGCCCAGCAGCAGCGACGTGATACGGCCCAGACAGCGAGCACAGACCATCGCCCGCCGTTCCAGCCGGCGCACGGAAAGCTGCCCTACCACACAAGACACCAAGTTCACGAGCCCACTGAGTCTTCTTCCATCCCCCCAATACCTTGGCATCACTGGAAGGAAAGCGGACAGAGGAAGGAAGAAAAGATGCAGAGCAAGGAAGCAAGAGATAAGAGACAGGAGAAGGGGACAGTGTAAAGACAACACAGGTGCTTGAAATGTTCAGAGTTAGTTGTTTTTCATGAAATCTCCACACCGATATGTTAAATCACTACAGCTAGGGGTTAGCCATTATAATTTGTCTTCTGCTAGCCCGCAGGACTAGCAGACTTCAGAGTTGCGTGCCCCCCAACAAACCACACATCCACCTTAGATACCATCTGCAAGGACATAATAAAAATACACAAAACAAAAGATCTGTAAACAAGGGTTAGTAGCACAGTGGTACAGTAGATTGTCAATAAAAACAATAAAAGTGTGGATACAGATTCGTCTACCTTGTGTGTAACATTATTGCCAGTTACAAGGGAGGGACTCTGTAAACTCATAATTCTGAAGTTTTGTTAATAAGCACGGAGCAGCAGGTGAGCGACCCGTCTACTTTCTCCAGTTCTGTGTTGGCTATTGGAATCAGCATGTGGTCCTTCAGTTTTTCAAATACCTGTTTAGGAAAGGAAACAGAACAAGAAACCGTTACACTTTACACCTCCCAATTTTCCCTTTTCTCTGGGTATTTACGGAACAAAACGCGGATTTATCAGCGGGCCCTAAGCCGCCTCGTCATTTGCAATCGACACACGTAGAGCGCGCGTGGCCTTCGGGCCGTGGGATCCCCGCACAGCAACGAGGGCAACTGTTGCTACGTCCAGTGATGCACAAGAAGCACCCGGGGCACGAGCGACCAAGTCATTAAATCAGTAGCGGGGGCGAGAACGGAGCCCAGGCCTCCCACTTTCCCTCACCGGGTATTTCCACAAAGGCCCGTTCTGGAAGGCCGCTGATTTCCAGGCCCACCGAGGCTGGGATGCTGGTAGCCCTCACCTTGGCGCTCTCCGGGTACTCCTCGGGGGCTCGGTGCAGCAGGACGTGGCCTTTGCTGGGGATGTTTAAGTAGATGCAGTTCGCCGCGGCGTCGTCGGGCACCGTCAGCTTGTCGTAGCGGTGGTCGCTCATCTGTTGCATGGTCTGCCGGGGGACACAAAGCGCAGCTCTTTCAGCCAAAAAACCCCACGTTACCAGCCCCGGCGAACGGGAGAGCAGAGCCTTCAAAAAATAGCCAGTTGTGATTGCCAAGGGCCATTTTGCTGCGCAGCAAGGAAGGAGATGGCTTTTCATCCCTGCCCTTCAAGGAAGAATCCACTAACCCTAACCGAAACGAGCAGCAGAAAACCTTTGTGAAAAGGTTCCTGCAAGCAGCAGGATTAAGCAGGGCACTCGGTAAGCATCCTCCGTGGGGTCTTTTTCCTCGAGGAAGGCGCACTGAGTACGCAAAAACTCCTGCTCCCGTTGATGGAAGCTAGAGGTGCTCAGCACCTTCAAAAAAAAAAAGCATCCATCATTCGATATTTATAAAATGAGCGTGAATGAACACAAAACAGGACAGGAGCCGTTCCCAGCTTGGCTGTCAGCCCAATCTTAATTCTTTTCAAGGAGCTGCTTTCTGCTTTCCAAGCAGTTACTCTTTCACCGAGCACCTGTGCCGGAGAGCGAGCAGGCACGTCTGCGCTAATCCTCGTTCCCAAGGGGACAGCACAATAACCTCCTCAGAACTGCGGTGCCGGTGGGGTTCAGAGGGTGGGTGTATAAATATCGGGCTCGTACCCAAATCTGGATCCTGGCTGGAATTTCAGAGACTCCCACAGCACACGAGAAGCCTGAGATCCCACGGTTTGGATCAGGCTCAACTTTTCGATAAAGATGGGAAAAGCCCGGAGACAAGACGCCCGACTCCCCATTGTGCCCTTCCAGCTTTCCATCAGCTTCATCCCGACACAGACCGAGAATAACACACAAGTGAACCAAACTCAAAGTCAAAACCTTCGGTCCTGCT